TTTGTTATTCCTGCACTCTTTAATGACTCAAAGTATTTTTCTCATGAGCATCTCCCTCCTCACGCTTAATTACAGCTTAACAACAAAAGCTTTCCCTTATATAGGGTGTCAATATGAAAGAAAAATTTTACGCGACTTCTCCCCTTTCCCAGAACAAAGGGCAACAGAATGTTAAAAAGTAGATGCTGAATGTGCGTATTTTTCCCTATTTTCATTATTTAATATCATCAAAGAGTTAATTTTTAAAAAAAGTTTAATTCAGGTCATTTTGTCATCTCAAAACAGAATATTGCACGTAGCTGATTTTTAGTAAGACTTTTAGTGAGAGTCAATTTACTTAGATAAAAAACACCAGTAAATTACACAGATTAAGGACACACAACCCTATTTTAAGAACACAATCACAAACTGCTATACTGCATCCTGCCTGTGACTTATAACATTACAGCAACTACCCAGTAAAGGGAGCTTAACTTAAAGTTCTCTCTTAGTTAGGAGCCTCTAGCCTCATCTTTAAAACCACTGGTTTCTTTACTGTCGAAGTTTCAATGGTGGGGGGGGGGGCGGACTTCACTGAAAAAAAAATCAGCCAGTAATCTATCTGATCAGATACTCGAGTCTTCACCAAAATATATATCGATGGAGCATTAATTCCTAGCAAAGGGTTTTTAGCTCAGTGAAGAAAAACAATCCTGAACAAGACTGAAGCATGGCTGAACATCATACCTTCTTCCCCTATGCAGCCCTGTCAATTTTTCCCTGCTTCTATTTGCGAACTGCAAAACAAGGGCCTTAGCTGCATCAAACAGCTGCTCACGGCATAGAAGCACTTATCACTTGCAGTAAGAAATAGTTTGGGTGCAAATTATCTTGGCCGTGTAGAGTTAACGCGTGAAGAAGTCCCGCAGCTAACCACTGAATAAAAACCTGTACAAAACGTCTTATACCTTACTGCTCAAAATCGCCTCTTTCCAAACACCTAGCTCCCTCAGCCGCTTTCCTTCAGCGAAAGACGGGTAAAAACAGGAACGCGGTTTATCCGCTCCACGGGAACGACGGCGGCTCTGCCGCGGCCTACTGCCCTAGACCCGTCACAGCGGTCCGTGCACAGCAAGGCAGCTGGGTCGAAAAAAAAAGGGGG